AAACTTTTCTAATATATCTTTGTCACCAGATAATACTTTCATGTGACATTTGAGAATGGAAGATGAATGAACTAAATGTTGAAAGTTCATTCTTTGCAGAGAGATATGGGTATCTGGGGTTTTTTTGTTTTTTTTTTTTTTTCTTTTTCAGTTATCCAAGGAAGCTTTCCTAAAGGAATTGGTCTTTCAACGATGGCTAATAAAGAGGTAGTGCATGTCATGGGCTCTGGAGAATATATTTTATGGCATTTGCTTGAAGCCCTCTCTCTCTGCTTGTCACAGTTCACTTGGCAAGGCTCAATTTTATCTCCCCCTAAGCCTTATACTATCTTCCATCTTTTTAAGCTATCTTACATATTCATGCCTTGTTCTCCTCACATGCTTTTCTTTCACCATCACCAAGTAACTAGATAGACAGAATAAAGTTCATGGGAAAATTAGAGCATTTCTAAAATTATCACTGGTGACTGGCATTTCTCTGTCGGTAGATTCAAATATTATCTTCATTCAATTTCCCACATAAAATAACCCAACAAGGGTTATTTTCCTGTGTTCCCTAGCGCATAGCTGTCAGAATTCAGCAAAACCCAGAAATCTAAGCAAATGAGATTCAAAAATTAATATTATTACAACCATTTCTATTTTGAAATAGCACCGTTCCATTTTTTTCTGCCACTGATATCTCAATGTTCAAAACTGTGTATTCTACCTCCGCTGCTTAGAATTCTGAGCATTATCCCCCAAAGCATCGCTGAAAAACTTTTGTTTCTTATTAGTTATGGCCCCAATATGCTGATTGATATTTATGCTTTCCAAAACTCCAGGGATCTATTATTGCGACATTATTTTTGGCAAAGTTCCTTCCTTCTCTCAATTAGCAAAGGGGATGCAGAAACAGCATGGATTCAACATCTTATAGGTCCAATAGGAAAAAAGAAACAGGAAAGAAACTGGAATTGGCAATTAGTTGGCTGTCTCTCCCAGGTTCCCTGGTGGCTGATTAAAAGCTGAAGGGAGTACAAATTAAGGAAGTGAAAGTGAGTATGGAAAACCCATATTACAAGAGGTAATACAGGGCTATCTTTTTTGAGGTCTTTTTTCGTAAGAGAGAAGCTCTCTTCTTCCTTGGACTTCACCAAGACAATTAAAGCCAAAGAAGAAACAAAATTCTCCCTTTCAGCCTAAGTTCATCCGTAACATAAAAATTCAATTGCTTCACCAAGGAGAGGAGCATAGGAACACAATATGCGTGATGGGGAAAAGAGTGGTGTTTTTGCTGATAAAGCTAAAAACCTTGAAGAACAGCAACAAAGAGCAGACATGGAGACTGAAGGAAAGTTGTGGAATGTTTAGGTGCAGGTCACAGAGGAGATAAGCTGCTTTTTTTCTAGCTTTCTGGAGATAAAAAGACCTCCAATCAAGTGTCTTCCTCAAGGGCCGGGAATAGGAGTACAGCCTTGTGGGTAACACCTTCGAGGACATGGGTAGTCCCCCCAGTTATTCTCATTCTTTCCTACAGCTCCCTGATAGTCTGACTCAAAGTAGAGGAGAGGGAATGTGGGGTTGGAGAGAGATCAATTAATGCCTGTTTACATTTGTATGCCACTGTTATCCTACCCTGAATTTGAAACTGGGTTAAAAGTCAAGCTCTCTATTGCTGGACTCAAGTAATACAATGTCTAGACTTCCAGGTTTCCTAGAAATTGTTATTCTTCCTCTT